GCTCGGGTTGTCACCAGCTGAGCGGTGCTGCGGCAGAGTCGCAGGGAGAGCGCCAGCAGGGCCGTTTCCTCCTCTGAGAGCTCCTCGGACAGCCAGAGAAGAAGAGAGTCTGAGAGGGAACCTGGTTGGATGGGCAGGTGATGGATAAATGATGCACGTTTTTAGTATGTGGAGCTGGGACAGCATTAAAGAGTGTGGCAAAGAGACAATGAATGGATCGTGGAGCAGGCGGGCAGAATTTCACCCACCTGTGTCCTCACAGAACTTCACCTGGGCTGTAATGGGCCGAGTAAAGTTTCTCACTTTCTAAAATGACATAAAACAGTAACATTCTTTTATTTGAGTCTTTTACATGAAGCATAATGTTTCATTTTTGGGGGGTGAGGGGGTTAAGTCAGACCTTTACCTTGGGTAAAGTCAGAGACAGCTTACAGACGGGATCTCCCAGAAGCTTCGTGTCCTTCAGGACAGCTTTGTCATCCCGCCACTCCAGCTGACCTCTGGTGACCTTATAAAATATGGCCGTGCCCTTGTAGTGAGGAGAGCTGTAGTTTCCAAATAGGTCCACCTCAGTCAGATGCACTAAGAGGTGATTCTTCCTCTGGCTGTGGAAGGTGATGCGCTCATGCGTGGCTTCATTTTTGTTGGTTTGAGCAGCGGCTGCAGAAAAATAAATATGCACACATTTAAAAAGAGGCCTGATGCAATTATATGAAACTGCTTTACTAACTGAATTTGATGCTAACTGAATTTTCTAGGTTATGTTTGTAACATTTTCCTGTATTAAACTTGTTTATTGCCAGTTTGTGAACAGATGGTAAAGTCACTTAAAAATTAGACCTTAGGGCTGACTTGTTGGACCTTTACAGCCTCTAAAGTGCCTCTCCTTTGTTCCCTGACACATCTATATAACAAGCAACTTCAACTCAGGCTAGCTTAGAAAAGGACCAAGCGGCCAACAAATGAGCTCCCAGTGCAACTCAGACTTCAAAACAAACCTCACATAAAAATAAGAAACATATCTGAGTTCAGATGGGTTCAGATGATATTTTTAAAAGCAACAGCGTTACCTTAGCTTGGTTCCTCACTATTTGCTATGTGTGATTTGTGTGAGTAGGTAAGCTAATGCTAGCCAACATTAGCCAGAAGAAAGACAGTTTTATCAAGCAAAGCCATGGAGCAAGTTAGGGCTGTGGTGTATAAAGACAATATAATAGATGGTCTTAAAAGTGAAGTTCATTAAACTGCTGCTCCTGCTTTCAAAAGGATTCTCCGTGCTGTAGAAGTCTATGGGAGAAGTACCCTCGGACTTGACTTCAGTCAGGTTATTTTATGTGATACTTAATAACAATGATTCCATTTTGCAAATTTTGGTTAAAATGGAGAGAAGTTTATGGGAAAATGGCCTTTCAGCTCCATTGTACTATGACCTCATTAAACACTTTAATGAGACCATGGCCTCAGTAACTAGTTTCAGGTGTTATTGAAAAGAACATGATTTTAATTTTATAAAGTGAACCAAAATTTTCCTTTGGGGTTGTGTCAAGAAGGGCATCTGGCATAAACCTGCCAAATCAAACATGGAGATGTTTGTGGCGACCCCCTCGTAGCATGACAGCAGCCGAAAGTAGATTTAAATATTCAATTTAATTCAAATGTATTTATATAGCGCCAAATCACAACAACAGTTGCCTCAAGGTGCTTTATATTGTAAGGTAGACCCTACAATAATACATACAGA